ATAACAAAGAGTGAAAAATTTAAGGGGGTCTGAATACTTTCCGTACCCACTGTATATATATATATAGCGCTAAAACAAGATATTCTTCCATTCCATGTTTTTCAGAGCTTTGTGGCAATTGTAAATATGGAAGATGTAGGACAACTTAATGCTCTTTGTTACTACTACTTTTTGATTATTACTATTCCGTATTGTATCTATAAATGCAAAGTTAACCACATATCCAGAGATGTAATGCTCTGTTTCCAAATATCCTGCTCTGTATCCTTTCCTTTCCTGCCCTTTCATTCAGGTTTGTTTGTGACGGCTGTCTGAAAAAGGCCAGTGCAACAAGGAAGGAGAATAAATACACTGCAAAGAGTACGTGGTTAAGAGCTTTAAAATCAGGGGGGGGAGGAATCCCTTTTGTTGAATTTTTTGTGCATAGAATTCCATGCTTGACTGATGAGAAACAAGTATTTCTGAGAGCCGTGTAATAAAAAAATTTAATGTCAGATCTTGAGTGAATATGGTGTGTTGCACTGTTTTATGTTAATGAATTGTCATAATGTATTGTAAACTGCTATGGTTGCATTATTTTAAACTCCATGCATTTCTTTCTCCTTATTCCAGGACTTCCTCAGACAAAGCTTGGTAACTTCCTGGAGACACGAGTGAACGAGTACCTGAAGCGCCAGAGTCATCCAGAAACCGGTGATGTCACCATCCGTGTGGTTCATGTCTCTGATAAAGTGGTGGAGGTCAAACCTGGCATGAAGTCCAGGTGAGAGAGAGAGCAGAATATTCGAGAAGGGTCTGGCTGCAGCCTCGCACTTGCACTCTCAGACTTGCACTCTCAGACACTTGCGCTTCCGCTAGCGATGTCACTTGCATTATTTTTTATTACCTTTTGTTTGAATCTCTCAACATTTTACAACAGTAGCCAGGTGATTAAGAAACTAAATTACAATGTCACTTGCAATCGCTACTTGCACTCTCCGCTACCTGCGACGTCACTTGCAATCGACACACATCATGCGTGTTGCCAATGGAGACAAGACGCTGTCCCAGAATAAATGCAACACGCACAGTTTCGTGTTAAGCGTTTTTCCATATAGAATAAACTGCCAACAGCTCTTTTATATCATTGTCTTTGTCCATTAAGCTAAAATATATGAACAAAATAAAAAAAATAAAAGACTGCAAGTGACGTCGCTAGCGGGAAGCGCAAGTGTCTGAGAGTGCAAGTTCAAGGCTGCAGCTAGACCCTCTTGGAATATTCTGAAATGTTGTTAATTTTAAGGTTTGGGGGACTTTGAATTTGGAACTGTTTGCTTCATTTCTTGTGATTGAATTGTCCTTGTGATTATGATGAAATTTAACAATGGTCCATAACCTTGCATGTAGTATCACACTTGTTCACACAATGATTTTATCATTGAAGACCATCTAGTAGATGTATTGTTGTTTGTAGTAGGCACTTATACTACTGTATACCCTAGCCAGTGTTATTTTAGTATTATTTATACACTATTATTGTATATGATATTGATATTATTCAAATTTTAGATGACCTTTTATTTTTATATTTTCAGTTTTAATTTCAATTTGTTTTAAACTCATTTTGTGACTTAACTTTTTTTTAATATTTCTATTTAGTTTTAATTTATTTTATTTCAGTTTTAGTAATGTCAAAACTTAATGGTATTTCTGTTAGTTGCTAAGGCAGCATTGCATTTTAATTTGTTTTGAAGTTTATATTTCATCTAATACTGTATTTGTATTTAAATGATCTTTCTTTCAATTGAAAAACAGTTTCAGTTTCAATTTCAGGTTTAGTTAATAATAATAACACTGTTCGTCTTTGAATGTTATTGGTGGCCTTCCGTAGCATCTGGTCATAAATGTTAAAATTAAGAGGCTCTATTTTGTCAAGAACTAATTTTGAGGTGAAGTAGCGTATTTCTAAGGAAATTGCAGAACTATATAATTCATCGTATGCACTTGAACGATTATCATGAACATGAACGATTATTATATTGTATGAATCAAACTCTCTTGGAATGCCCACGCTTTTCCATATATATTTTTTTATTATATTGATGTATATGGGCAGATGAATTGCTTGCAGTAAACAATAACATCTTTATCTTGCTTGCACTCAAGTACAAGATCTCCTCGGAGACTGCTCACGCATTACTGTTGCACTTTGGGATGTCTTTTTCACTCACATTGGAAGTCAGTCTCATTGATTTGTTGCTCATTTGCATAAAGTAAAATTGTTCTAAACTTTGAACATGATTGCATTGCCTCACCATCAGTCGGTTGTGTAAATAGCCATTGAATGCCATGAATGACTTCAAGGTGTTTTGACTTTGAAAGGCCTTTAGGAGGATGAGAAAACAACATTGGATCAATATATTACGCAAACTCTGGTATTGCTAAGTGGATTGATGAATGGATCTTTGATTCTGAAACTGTACAAATAATTAAAAATTCCTTTAAAAAAAAAAAGAAGGAAAAAAAAGACAATTTTAATGGACACCATGAAAAGATCTAAAGAATTTACTGTCTTTTTACAGGTTTGTTGATAGCGGAGAGATGTCAGAGTCATTCCCGTACAGGACAAAAGCTCTGTTTGCATTTGAAGATATTGATGGGACAGATGTCTGCTTCTTTGGAATGCATGTGCAAGAATACGGCTCCGACTGCCCTCCACCCAATCAAAGGTTAAAAATAAAAAAGACAGACAGTTACACATCTCCAGGCACACACAGAATTTCCCTCATGTGGATAACATTACAAGAGGGTCTGAGAAACACAAGTAACTTAGCAATATCCTCTGTCTCTCTCTCTCTCTCTATCTCCATGCAGACGTGTGTACATCTCCTACCTTGACAGCGTGCACTTTTTCCAACCCCGTCACCTGAGAACCGGAGTCTATCATGAGATCCTGATTGGATACTTGGAGTATGTTAAAAAAATGGGGTTTGTCACTGGCCACATCTGGGCTTGTCCTCCAAGTGAAGGTGACGACTACATCTTCCACTGCCATCCATCGGATCAGAAGATTCCCAAACCTAAACGCCTACAAGAATGGTACAAGAAGATGCTTGACAAAGCAGTAGCTGAGAGAATTATACACGACTACAAGGTACTGTGACAGCTGTACTTCGGCTGACAATAATCAGCATACTGCACTAGTCTTTTCCCTTGTTTGGCTTGTTGTTGACCGCAATGTGTTATCTATTTGAAGTACTTCGCTAACTATTGCATGTTTCTCCTCACCCAGGACATTTTTAAGCAGGCAACAGAGGATCGTCTGACCAGTGCGAAGGAGCTCCCATATTTTGAGGGTGATTTCTGGCCTAATGTTTTGGAGGAGAGCATTAAAGAGCTGGAACAGGAGGAGGAAGAACGGAAGAGAGAGGAAAACAACACCTCTAGTGAGAGCATTGACGTGAGTGATTGACTCAGATTTGTAACCATTTTGTACTGGGGGAAAAACATACTCAAGTGCCAAAGGAAAACATTTGTTGTGTAAGCTAAGTAGCTTTAAAAAGTGCTTCTAGAAAAACTGAACACATCCTTTGGGCTTTTAGACAGCTACTGTGCTTTCTTGTTTCTGACTTGATGGTAAAATTGATTCTAGTGCAGCTGCTTTAATATGTATTCTTAAAACCTGATTATTATAACTTAATGCTTAAGATCAATGTTTTTTGACTGTCTAGGCTACCAGTGGTGACAGCAAGAATGCCAAAAAAAAGAACAGCAAGAAGACTAGCAAGAACAAGAGCAGCTTGAGCCGAGCCAATAAAAAGAAACCGGGCATGCCAAATGTCTCAAATGATCTATCCCAGAAACTCTATGCTACTATGGAGAAACACAAAGAGGTATGTAGCTCCCAAAAACATTTGAAGCATTTGTCATTTACACGTATGGACTGAACTCACAAATGTCAACACTCTGCTTAATTTCAAGGTTTTCTTTGTCATCCGTCTCATTGCTGGCCCTTCTGTCAATTCCCTTCCACCCATTTTGGACTATGACCCCCTGATGGCCTGCGATCTGATGGATGGACGAGATGCTTTCCTAACGCTTGCACGAGACAAGCACCTTGAATTCAGCTCGTTGAGGCGGGCCAAATGGAGCTCCATGTGTATGTTAGTAGAACTGCACAATCAAAGCCAGGACCGCTTTGTCTACACGTGCAATGAATGCAAGCACCACGTTGAGACACGCTTTCACTGCACTGTTTGTGAGGTAAGAAATGCCATGTGGGATGTATGATACTTGGCATGTCTTTGAAGAGGGTTTCTAAAAATGCTGTATTGTGGTGCATGTTTTTTAGATAAAACACTAAGCAACTTTTGAAACGCCCCCTTCTCTCTTTTTTTGTAGGATTATGATCTCTGCATCACTTGCTACAACATTAAGGGCCATGAGCACAAGATGGATAAACTTGGACTGGGTCTTGATGACGAGAGCAACAACCAAGCTGCAGCCTCCACACAGAACCCTGGAGACTCGCGGCGTCTCAGCATCCAACGCTGCATCCAGTCACTGGTGCATGCGTGCCAGTGTCGCAATGCTAATTGTTCTTTGCCATCTTGCCAGAAGATGAAGAGAGTAGTGCAACATACCAAGGGCTGCAAACGCAAGACCAATGGTGGCTGTCCCATCTGCAAGCAACTCATTGCACTATGTTGCTATCATGCTAAGCACTGCCAGGAAAACAAGTGTCCTGTGCCCTTCTGTCTCAACATCAAGCACAAGCTTCGTCAGCAGCAGCTGCAACACAGGCTTCAACAAGCGCAAATGCTGCGTAGACGTATGGCCACCATGCAACGAGCAGGGCAGCCACCACCATGTGGCAGTGGGCCTCCTGGAGGTCTTCCATCCCCCGGCAATAATGGAGCCACAGGTCCTAGCACACCTACTTCGGTCGGTACACAACCTGCAACCCCTCAGACGCCCACACAGCTGACACCCAACCATACGTCTCTGCCCCAGCCTGGTGTGGGTGGAGTCCCAGCTGGAGCTCCCCAGCAGCCTCCTCAGCATCCCGTCCACCACCAGTTTCAGCAGATGTCAGGTGCAGGCGGAATGATGACCTCACCGCAGCAACAAATGGTTCCTCAACAACCTGTGGGACAACTCTCGCATCCACACAATCAATATGGTCCCCATTCCACAGGTCCCTCCCCAAATCCACAGTCACAGGGTAAGCCAAGCCTCGGTCCTGCAACTCCTCCTCAACTCCCCAGCAATCCAGGCACAGCACCTATGTCCCAGCAACAGCAACTTTCAGGTCCTCCACCTGCAGCTGTGGAGATAGCCATGAAGATCCAGCAAGTGGCAGATGCACAGCGAAAGATGGCACAGGTTCAGATGCTACAAAGGCAGGCTGCGCAAGCTGGCATGATGCCGCAGCACCATCAGCAGCCACAGGGACAGATGGGAGTAGCCCACCCTGGGATTGGCATGGTAGGGCCACAAGGAATAGCCTCGCAGGCACAAGCATCAGTGAACAGAGTGCAGATGGAGCAGCAGCAAGGATCTCAGGGAATGATGGTCGGAGCTGGGCCCATGCAGCTGCAGCAGCAACCCCAACAGACAGTTGTGCAAGGCCAAATGCCACCACAAATGCATCTACAGCAGCCGAGAATGAACCCACCACTTCAGCCTCAGCAGCAACAGTGGCCGGGGCAGGGTATGCCAACCCAGCAGAGACCTGCCATGATGGCTCAACCGGGAATGGTCGCAATGCAGCCCCCTCCGCAGCAGCAGCAACAGCAACAACCACAACAGCAACAACCACAACAAATGCAACAACAGCAAGCACCCCAAATGCTGAATCGAAACGCCTTGATGAGTATGGTGCAGGCTGGTCTGCAGAGTGGCGTAGCAAGTGGGGCAGCAGCTGGCAATCTGCCTCAGGGAGCCCTGCAGGATCTTTTGCGGACCCTGCGATCTCCAAGCTCTCCTCTACAGCAGCAGCAAGTCCTCAATATTCTTCGGTCTAACCCACAACTAATGGCAGCATTTATCAAGCAGCGGGTTCACAAGTATAAAGGAGGTACAGGTGGCCCCGCTGTACCACAGGGTGGGCCAGGACCTATGGGAGGCCAGCCAGTGGGTGTCAGTACTGGGGTGTCCCAGCCTGGCATGCACCTTGGACAGGGTGTTAACATGCAGACTCAACTTCCTCAGCTCCAACAGCAGCAGCAAATGCAACAGCGGCCGCTATTGCAGCAGCAGCAGCTGCAACAGCAGCATCAGCAGCTGCAACAGCAGCAGCAAGTTGCTGCCTTGCAGCAGCAACAACAACAGCAGCAGCAACAGCAAGGAATTCAGGGTCAGGGGGTTCCAAACATGGCCAACATGAATCCACAGTTTAGAGATCTGGTCATGAGAAGGCAACAGCAACTACAGTTTCAGCAGCAGCAGCAACAACAACAACAGCAACAACAACAACAACAACAACAACAACAACAAATAAGTAATCATGCAGCATTTCAACAGCAGCAAGGTTACATGGGTCAGCAGGGTAACATGCAAGTCCCGCCAGGTGGTCAACCGCTACAAGGTGTGCAACCTGGCCAGCAGCAGAGTTTTCCAGGCAACCCTGCACAACAGCAAGCTGCAGCTGCCTTGCAACAGAGGCTTGCACAGCAACACCAGCAACAGATGCAACAGCAGCAGAATGCGGCATCGCAAGGTCCCGATGTGGGGCACGGAGGAGGTCCACAGCCCACGCAAGGAGGTCCCAGTCTTCAGACATCACAGGCATTATTGCAACAGGCCTTGCATCAGCGTATGCTTCAACAGCAGCAACATCTCAGTGGCACCTCGCTGGCACAGCAGAACAACCCCATGAGCCCGCAGCAGCATCAGATGTCTCAATCGCCCCACTTGCAGGGCCAACAGCTCCCATCCACCCTCAGCAACCAGGTCTGCTCCCCCCAGCCCTCCCCGCGACCCCAGTCCCAGCCACCTCACTCAAGTCCATCCCCGCGCCTGCAACCACAGCCCTCGCCCCACCACATCTCGCCTCAGACCCAAACGGGTTCTCCGCATCCTAGCCACCTTCAGCAGCATCACTCAGGCATGGCTCCACCTCCTCCACCTCCCCAACAGCCACAGCACAACTCTAAGGACCCAAGTGGATTTGGTGCAGATCAGAACGCCATGCTGTCTCAGCTCAGTGGCTTGGCAGGACTCCGCGGACCTGGAGCTAATGATATGCTGCCCCCTAGTGGCCAGGACCTTGCCATTAACATGAATAACCCTTTAGACATCATATAGCTATTATGGAATTCACGAAACCTCACCAGAGACAGTGTTAGATTTTTTTTTATACTACAAGGATGAGTTTAGTGTTTTTCATCATAAATGCTTTGAAAATGGACCCGCCTAGAGAGATAGCAAATAAGTATCGGGGGTGTTTTCTTTTTCTTTTTCTTTTTCTTTTGCCAGTTGTGTACAAAGAGAGGATTGTTTCTCAGCCTCAGAGAACAAACCACAAGTAATATTTTCAACGTCAGGTCCAGGGGAGTACTTTTCCTTTTTCAAGAGATATTTTTTAAGATTTTAAAAGTGGTATAAAATTAAAGCGCAAATGATTAAGGACTTTTTTTATATATTGTTTCACCACGTACCAGTCTCTGTTATGTGTTTTACAGAGTCATATGGAACATTTCAAACGTTGTGATGCCTATATTATTATAATTATCGGAACATCATGCATATCTTCCTTGTAAATGTTGAGGTTTGCATTTTATTTATTCTAGCTTTTTCATTTGTTGTCATGATGGATTTTGTTCATGTGTGTTCCCAGAGACTGCTACAGTTCACATAGAATATATTTTTGTTAATACCTATTAAAATGGGGAGCTATTCCTTTACTTCAGCTGGAGATTTAGGTTATTTAGTATAATATAAATTACAGTGTTGGGGGATCGGGTTTGGTGTGCACTCCGCTGCCCAATGGATCTCATTTCATGCCATTTTGGAAATTCCATTGGACTTAACTTCTTTTGCAACAGGACAAGTTCTTAGACGCACACACCCACCCTCAGAATGTTTGTGCACTCCTTGTAAGACTTACTGGATAGTGGAGGTGTCTGTACTGGTTGGATGAAAGTTTTGTATATATATGTGTGTGTGTGTGTGTGTGTATTGGATGTGGTGCCGGAGTTCTTCTGCTCTCGCCAATATCATATTGAGCAGAGTTTCACATATGAACTGTATGGAGCAGTGAAACGATGGAGAAGGAGAGGCGAGCCACTGATTTGACCGTTTTCATCCTTCTTCAGTACCACTCCTACTTTTCCTCCACTTCCAGAATTTTCTTTGCTCTGAACTTTGGGAGTTTTATTTGAATATTTTGTACTGTACAAAGGAAACACAAACTGTGGACTTAATACTTTTTTTTTTTTTTTTTAATAAAATGAAGATAATTCATTTATTGGTCATTTGTTTTTGAGGATCATTTAAAGATTACGGTGGAGGAGAGGAGAGCCACTGATTTCACAGTTTTTCGTCCTTCTTCAGTACCACTTTCCTCCAGTTCCAGAATCTTCTTTGCTCTGAACTTTGGGAGTTTTATTTGAATATTTTGTACTGTACAAAGGAAACACAAACTGTGGACTTAATACTTTTTTTTTTTTTTTTTAATAAAATGAAGATAATTCATTTATTGGTCATTTGTTTTTGAGGATCATTTAAAGATTGCCATTTTTAACCATTTGCCTTTCTGCTTTAATCTTTTATCTCTTTATTTGACTCAAAAAGATACACTTTCTTCTGGCAGAATGGCAGTGCTCTTGGATTTGGGTTTGTTTGGTTAAATGTGTTAATACGGGCTGTTAGGCTGGTCATAGTTGACTCATCAGCCAGCTGTCATAGCCGGTTGATGTTCAGACCAATGCTGAAGAACCTGTTGATCCTGCAAATCATCCTAGAGGTGATAAAAGGGAACTGTAGAGATTGCCTGGTAAAAGTGTGGCTTTCCCGGAGTGGTTAAAGGGTTAGTTCACCCAGAAATGAAAATGCTGTCATTAATTACTCCCGTCTTTCCAAACCTCGAAGACATTCGTTCATCTTCAGAACACAAATGAAGAAATCTGAGAGCTCTCTTGACCCTCCATAGACAGCAAGGGTACTAACCATGGTCAAGGCCCAGAAAGGTAGTAAGGACATCATTATAATAGTCCATGTGACATCAGTGGTTTAACCATAATGTTATGAAGCTACGAGAATACTTTTTGTGTGCTGGAAAACAAAAATATCGACTTTATTCAATTTCTTCATGTCAGAATTCGATGTGCGTTCACGAGAGTACCATGATGCATACGTGTGCAGTCCTCTCTTTACAAACAAGCCGCAGCACATCCAGGTTCTACGTCAGAGCGCCGGCTCCTGCTTCAGCACCACCACACGCATGCGTCATGGTACTCTCGTGAACGTGCGTCGAATTGGGATTAATTTTCATTATGGATTTTTTTTTTTTTTTATCCCTTTAAGAATCTTCTTTAGGGCCAGCAAATATGACTTTGTACTATTGGTCTATGATGTTTCATAATTTTTGACTAGTATTTTACAACATTTACCTGGTTCAATTGACTATAGAGAATATCATCTTCAGATTCTCCTCCTGGGTTTTTGTGACAATGACTGGCCGACAGTACTTTAGCTGTTTGAGTATTCCAGTGTGTGATAAGGATTATTTATTACACTACTATCTGGAAGACTTAATTAAATACATTTTAAGAAGCTGCCTCACAGTTAAAAAAAAAAAAAAGGAACAAAAAGCAGCTAAAATCACCCACAACTTTATTTTTCCATTTATTTGCTGTAAATACAAGCAAAAAAAGTGTAGTCGTCACATGTGAGTGCAACAACAGAGCTGACAAGCCAAGTTCAATTACCACCACGACCAATACATGTAATTTAGGCTCGGCTTTGATTTCTGCCATGCTAAAAGCACACCTAAAGCACATGTGTTCAGATGAACAGGATCTACCCCTAAGAAAGCGTCCAGTGCAGCAGTTGTGAATGTAAACCAATACTGTCTCTTTAAAAATGCACAAAGGCCTCCGAACAGAGCGAAGACAGCTCAGGTGCAGATATGGAAACAAAGCCAGGTGGCCTTTCCTTTTCCCACCTGGTTTGTTTACAGGACAAAAGAGGCGACGGAACAGTAGTTTTGTCTTCGAAGTCGGAACTGAAAAACAGTTTCTCCTCATTGTTATGTCAATGACTTTGTCAAGTAATTGTCAATGACTGCTGCTGATGGAAAAGTAGTGGTACAGACACAGAGATTCGCTTTACATGCTTTAAGTCTTTGCATACAGCATCACTGAGTATAATCAGAAATGTCGTCCTTCAACGGTTATTTAACCACAATGACACAATGACAAACTGAAGAAAACAAATACCTTGTTGATGTCTTTACCTTGTTTAGACAATATCTGCTTCACTACTGCAAACTGTATTATTCACTTGGTCCTGGCTAACTGTACATAAATCTATTGTATGTTCCTGGGTTCCTTTGTCAACTTACACCTAGAGCCCATAGCCACTAAAAAAGCCTTCTGCACTCATGGCCTCTTTGAAGGTGACGGTCAAGGTATTTATCGTCACCTGAGTCACAATGACTTTCCCAGGATGCACTGCGGTGGTGGTGGGAGTCTGCAACTGGTCAATTGGGACCTGTAGTGTTGTTGTGCATTCTGCTGTAACAACAGCATCCATCCCTTCCTTTTCTTTGGCCTCTGACCTGTCTAGCTCGCCCCTTTCACTTACCTTGTCCTGTCTACATTTAGCGCTTGAATTTACCTCGATAACCAAAGGTCTGTCCGGTACTTTGTCAAACACACCTTGCTCGGCTCCTGACTTGGTGCTGTTGTGTAGTGATTGGTCAGTGTTTGTTGTGTCATGTGATACCCGTACAGAGTCCTCATCCCCTGCAGTGTTTGTGACTGGCTCATTCTCTTGTGTGTTGGTGATTGTACTGTTTACTGTTGCTCCTAAAACTGGACCGGTATCCTCTCTTGGCTTCTCGGCATGGTCAAAAAAGGAAGAGCAGTTCTCAGTTTCCTTGATAGTGATTACAGCTTCATGTTCTGCCGAAGAGTTGTACCCCTCCGACATCTCTTGACCTGACGGAAAACGACAGAACGTTCAAGAAAATTGTTCAACTAAAACATAAAGTTATTTAGTGACCTTAAATTCGTTCCAAACACATATGAATTACTTTGCTTCAAGATATGTCAAAAAACTTTTATGAATGAATGAATGATGCATTTATATAGCGCTTTACTGTGTATTGTTGTACACCCAAAGCGCTTTACAATCATGTGGGGGGGTCTCTTTTAGCCTCAATAATCTTCACTGACTTAAAACCTGCTGTGATGCATATTTAAAAGCAAGTTTGAATGTACTCGAATGCAAAAGGGCCTTCGAAAAGCTACAGCAGAAAGGAAGATTTTGGTGAATAACTATAAATATCACTTTGTTTCTACTGTGTAACTTCAAAAGAATTGGAATTGCATGAGTTGTATAGACTACTTTGTGAATGTATTTTATAAAATGACAAGCAAATCGACCTGGGCTGCGTTTCCCAAACGCATCGTAAGCCCAAGTAGATTGTAGAAACCACTGGCACCAATGGTCTCCACAATCTACTTAGGCTTATGATGATTTTGGGAAACACAGCTCTGAAAATCTCACGTCACGTTTGGTTTTACATCAATGACGATCAATCACAAGACGTAAGAACCAATGTTCAACATCTCCGACATCAAACATGACAACTAAATGTCTTAAAATGGCAAGTTTAAATGTATTTGAATGAGATTCGAGTGCTATAATGGAGGGTTAAATAGATTTTCGAATGTTTAAATGAGTCATTCCTCACACAAAAGGTGAAATGGCTTCAGAAGACTTTCAATTTTTGGCAAATTTCGTATGGGATGCGTTTATGGTGTGTTTTTGGTCCAGTTTTTATGTTTGATGGTCATTCACTTTCATTGTATGAAAGAGAGTTACTAAAACAAAACTACTTATAGCGTTTTGCAGAGGACAAAGTATCATTGGAACGACATGCTACATTGTCATTTTTGGGAGAATTTTCACAGCTGAGTATATCTCAGTCACATTAAACACATGTTGGCCAGTTGTCACAGTGATTCAGAAATATCTGGCATGATTTTTCATAATGGCCCTCATGACCCCTGAATATGTTCTTCGCAGAGTATCTTAGCAACAGTTGTCGCATTGATGCCACACAACACCTACCACTTGGAATGTCCTGGTGCACTTCTGTTGTGTTTTCTTCGTTTGTTCTCATCTTCTTCACCTTTTTCTTCTGCTCATCTTCCTCGTCTCCATCCCACTCTTTCTCTGAGTCTTTTGGAAGAAGTGGATGTCTTCTTGGTTGTTGGAATGGTTTGATGTCATTCATGAGTTTGGACCTGCACTGTCTGTTCTTGCGTTTCTCTATGCGCTGGCAGCGCCGCCCATTCTGGTCTATTTCTGTCCCCATGGAG